ATACAAATATAATAAAATATTTATAATACATGTGATTTTTTTTTTTTTTTTTTTTTTTTTTTTTTTTTTTTTTTATTGACAATGAACTTTATTAAATAACCAAGCAAGTAATATAATAGAGTTTCAAGAAAAAGTGAAGGAAAAAAAAATTAAATTGAAAAAGGAAAAATTTTAAAAATAGGAGATTGTTTCATTAATGTTAAGGTCTAGTAGCTGTTGCTTTACAACGCATTTAAAATCTTGGAATCAAAATTTAAAGTCTTGATCAGATTATATTTATATTTGTATTTAGAGTACTTTATATTTGTATTTAGAGTTAATATATCGAAATTTTTTTTTTTTTTTTTTATAATCTTATTTGTTTATTTTCAAAAATGGGAACGAGCACTTTAATCAACAAAGGTTTTGAAAATTTAAACTTTGACCCTTTTCTGGAGGATATTAATGATAACCTATCAAATAATAACTTGAATATTTTTCAAGAAATTCAAAGGAACTTAATTAACACACCATATTTTAATCCTTTTGACTTCAAAGTAACAAAAGATTTCAGTTAGTTCATTTTCAGATAGTTCATTTTCTGTATTGCACTTAAACATTAGAAGCATGCAGCAAAATATTGAAAAATTGAAAGAATTTTTAAGGATTGTAAATTATGCGTTTGATGTCATAGCTCTTACAGAGACTTGGCATGATACAGAAAGTTATATCGAGTTAAACACTAACTATAAACTGCCTTCTTATAATTTAATTAGTCAACCAAGTAAATATAATTTAAATAGTCAAACAAGGTAAAGGATTAGGGGTCTATGTCTCCGATAAATTTACTTATAAAATAAAAAATTTACATAGTCTCTCAAATACCAACTATGAAAGTCTTTTCATCGAAATTATTAACAATAAATGTAAAAATATATTAGTAGGATGTATTTATCGTCCACCAAATGGTAAAATTAAACCATTCGAAAATTCTATTAAAAAAACTATTATAAAGATTAATAAAGAAAATAAAAGCCTGTTTATTATTAGAGACATGAACCTAGATGCTCTGACTTACCAAAAATTTCTTAAAACAAAATCATTCTTTGATATGCTCTTTAAATTCAATGTCTTATCAATTATTAATAAACCCGCACATGTTACAAAAAATTCAGCAACTGCAATTGACAATATTTTCATTAATAACTATCTAGAAACAAAATTTGAATCCGGAATATTCCAGACAGATATCAGTGACCACATTCCTATTTTCTTAAAAGTAAACTATTTAAAAACGGCGTCCGGTAGTCAACCAAATGTTATCAATTTGAAAAAACGTATCCTAAAAATTAGCAATACTAATGAATTAACATGTAAATTAAAACAAGAAACGTGGGAAAGTGTATATAAATGTCAAGATACTAACCAGGCTTTTAACAATTTTTTAAGTACATTATTGAAGCACTTCAATGAAACTTGCCCATACGAGGATATAAAAATTAAGGCGAAAACACTCGCTCATCCGTGGATGAATAAATCGCTGTTAAAATGTTCTAAAAAAAGCAAAAATTGTATAATAAATTCCTAAAAAATAAAAACACTGAAAACGAAAAAAATTACAAAAAATATAAAAACTTTTACCAAGCACTAATTAAAAATACAAAAAAAAGCTATTACAGTACGCTAATTTTTAAATACAAATTTAATAGTAAAAAAACATGGTCCATAATTTAATAAGAATTAATATTGATAACACTGATATATACAATGAAAACTTAATTTCAAAAGAGTTTAACAAGTATTTTACAAATGTTGGCCCATATCTTGCCAATAAAATAACACCAACATTAGAATCATTTAAAACCAACCTAGAACCCTCTAATGACAAAATATTGTATGAAAATGAATTAAGCTATAAAGAATTTGAAACAGCATACTCTTCTTTAAAAAAAAATAAATGCCAAGGATATGATGAAATACCTAGCAACATAGTTATTTTTAACAAAACTAGCTTAAGCAAACCTTTATTTCATATACTAAAACTCTCATTAAAGTTTGGTGTTTTCCCTGATGCTCTTAAAATGTAATCCCAATTTACAAAGGTAACGATCATTCGAACATTACAAATTATAGACCTATATCTTAACTTTCTGTATTCTCAAAATTGTTTGAACGCGTAATTTATAATAGAATATTCGAATATTTCACTAAAAATAACTTATTCTACCCAAAACAAATCGAATTTCAAAAAAATCACTCGACTGAGCATGCAATTATTGAAATAGTCAACCAAATAACTGATGGGTTTGACAATAACAAATTTACTTTAGGAGTATTTATAGATCTATCTAAAGCATTCGACACAGTCGACCATTGCATTCTCTTACAAAAAATTAAGCATTGTGGTATAATTAATACAACCTATTTCTGGATTAAAAGTTTTCTTACTGATAGAAAGCAATATGTTCATAATGTGTAATCCGGAATATTAAATGTCGTTTGCGGAGTTCCACAAGGATCGATCCTTGGTCCGCTCTTATTCTTAATCTACATTAACGACTTTTGTAATGCATCATTTAAACTGAACTCAATAACGTTTGCAGACGATACTAATTTATTTCTTACTAATAACCATATTAAACATCTTTATACAGATATGAACATAGAATTGAATAAAGTAAATAGTTGGTTTAAAGCTAACAAACTTACACTTAATGTTGAGAAAACCAACTATACTCTGTTCGATAAAAAAACTCAAGAATTATACATTCCTCTTAAATTGCGCGAACTGTACTTAAATGATACAATAATTAAAAAGCAAGCAAGTATAAAATTCCTCGGAATCCTTGTCGATGAAAATTTATCCTGGCTTCCCCATATAAATTACATACATTCAAAAGTTACCAAAACTATTGGCGTAATGTATAGGGTTAGACCATACGTCAATATGTTAAGTCTAAAATTAATATACTTTGGACTGATACACTGTTTTATTAATTATGCAAATATATCATGGGCAAGTACGCAAACTTTAAAACTTCAAAAAATTTATAGGCTCCAAAAACACGCTTGCCGTATTATATACTGTAAACATAAACGTGAACATGCAAAATCCTTTATGAGAGATATGAAAATGATGGATATATTTGAAATAAATATTTATCAGCATCTAATTTTTATGTATAGATACTATAACAACCTCTTGCCAGCAAACTTCAAAGATAAGTTTGAAATAAATTCAAATGAAAAGTATGGTCTAAGATCAAATAGAAATAAAAACTTTAAATTGCCTCGGAAATGTAATAAACTCTCAGAATTTTGTATATCTTATCGAGGACCTAAATTATGGAATGACTGTCAAAAGGAATTTAAATTTATGGTGAAGTCTTTAAATTCATTTAAGTTTCAATTAAAAAAAGAAATTTTTAAAATTTTGAAGTTATGATAAGTTTTTCTTTTTGCTTTATTGATTAATTTAACCTTATCTTGACTTTTTAATGATTACATTGTTATTAGTATATTTTTATACGAGCTATTTATTCTTACGTTGTTTTATTTAAACTTGTACCTAGGGGTTCTATGAAAAGATTGCGATAACGTAATGTTATCCTTATCTTCTTTGAGCCCTAATCTGATTTAACTTAATTTTGTTGTAATGTATATACTTTTATATTTTATTTTATGAGATTCCATATGTATACGTGCATTGTAATAATATTATACGATGTTAATCAGAAAAAAAAAAAAAAAAAGCTTATCGTTTTTATTTTGTTTGTTAGAAATGAGTTCCACAAGTGGGGTCCTCTGCTGGATATTGAGGACTTAGATTGTCTTAAAGAGGTTTTCGGAATATAGTAGTTCTTGATACAGTATTTTGTTTGATATTTGTGATAAATAAGGTGAAAATAGTTATGAAAGACTTCAGGGACCAGATCATTTTTGAGTTTAAACATGAACTGAATGTATGCAATAAATTTTTACGACTTTTTAAATTTGTTGATAAAATACTATCATTTATTGAAAACGAACCCGAATTGGATCCTACATTTTCCTAATTGCAACTTTGATGTTCTCAACTACATATTGCGTTTCATCAACTACAACACTGTTCACTGTTCAACATGTTCTTCACGTTTCATCAACTACAACATTCATGTTCTTCACGTTTCATCAACTACAACATTTATGTTCTTTACGTTTCATCAACTACAACATTCATGTTCTACACGTTTCATCAACTACAACATTCATGTTCTTCACGTTTCATCAACTACAACATTCATGTTCTTCACGTTTCATCAACTACAACATTTATGTTCTTTACGTTTCAGCAACTACAACATTCATGTTCTTCACGTTTCATCAACTACAACATTCATGTTCTTCACGTTTCATCAACTACAACATTTATGTTTTCAATTAAATCTAATTACAACTTTGATGTTTTCAATTTTATCTTGTTTCTTAACTAAATATTATGTTTCTTATTTACAACTTTCGTGTTCTCAATTACATCTTGAAAAGGTAGCAATAAATTGATGAAGTAAACGAACAACGCATAGCATACAAGTGGCACAAGAGCATTTGTTTATTTTATTCTAATTTATTTTATAAGTAAATGGATTTTTTTGAATAGCTGTCGCTTTTTGTGGAAATGAAGATAGTGGAATTTTTACTGTTAAGCAATGTACTCACGTATTTTGAGATGGTTTTAAAAACTTAATTATTTATTTTTAAGAATAAAACTTCAAAAGTAGTAGAAACAACATAAAGCAAGAATGCATGGTGAATGCAAAACAATAAACTGTCTCGAAAAAAATAATTCAAATGTATATTTACAAACTCTATATTACTAAAAATATAAAAGGATTTATTTGAAAATATTATTGAAAAGACACTTAAGTGCATTTGCTTTTTAAAATCACTATGACGCGTAAGAAAATATATCTAAAATTTCTTTAAAACAAACTATTTTAAATTTTTCAAAACAATAAAAATATTGAAAGGCAAATCGCAAAGTATAAAAGCACCTCAAAAATTTTTATTACTTCTTGTAAACAAGAAAAAAATAATTCAGCGACATTATACAGATCTAATAAATAATACTCGAGCCATAGAATCCGTAAAAATTTCATGGCGCTGAAATCCTGTAATCATTTCGAAACTGATGCCATCGCCTTCAACTTCCATTGAATAAACTTTTGAAAGCAAAAATCGTGGCCAAGGTACCAGCCCTGACTGTTCAGTGGATAATTCTATGTATAATTTTGTTTGTAAACTATTTTCAAAGAAAATCGGATGAATATTTTTGTTTGATTTCCATACAGTATCTGAGGGATCGTGCATTAAGTATAACTTGTCAAGCGAGTCCGCTTCTCTTTTTGTAATTATGACTTCAACTTTGAAGGGAGCTGTATTTACTAATTCACAATCATCCATTATAACTTGTAACGAATAGGAATACTATAACAAAAAAGTGATCTATAAAAAACAAAGAACAATTAAAAGTTTAAATATCAGTAAATATTATAGTTTAAAAATGTTGAAAGATGCGTTAGAAAGAAAAAAGTGAAGAGCAATCGTTAGATGAGGAGAAAATAATTTTTGTACAAGCTACTACTTTTAGATTTATTCGTAAATTTCAATCCATTGTACTTTAAAAAAATATATATAAAGACCTAATACCGACTTCGATATTTGTAGTAAAGATTAAAGTTTGCTTTAAAGTATTTTTTATCAAAAAATAATCAAGGGTCGTAAAAGGTTCTATCTCCTGTTCATAATGTTGAGAGAATTTTACAAATTTTGTTATATTCTCTTAAATTTTTAAATTTAAAAAACAAAATTTGCTAAATTTGTTAAACTAAAAGGTTAAAAAAACTTAAGGTTCTATCTCCCATTTTTCATGTCGAGAAAATTTAACTTTTGGTTTTTATTTATTATATTATTTTTAGGTTTATAATTATATAATTATAATGTATTAATTTATTGTTATTATTAATAAAATTTTTAAAATTCCTTGTTTTTCTTAATTTTAACTTTATTTAGTAAAGTTGGGTTTAACAATAATTTATTAACAATTTAAAAAATTATATTAATAATAATGTAAGATTATTTATAAAAAGTAAATAACTTAAAAAAATATTTTATCAATATAAACAGTAGTAACTGTAAAGCATTTAAATAATTAAAAACCAAAAGTATACAGAGAGTTTAAAAATACATTTTTAAAACAATTTACAATTTTTTACGAAAACATACCTTTGAAAACTTTAGTTTTAATTCTTTGGAGTAAACGTTGTACACTGTCAATGATTGCATATCATCCTTTCATAAATTTAAAGTTAATTAGAAAAAAGATAATTATTTTTCTTAAATCTATCATTACAATAACGTCTATATTTATAGACGATAGTGATAATAATAATTATAGAAGTAATAATAATAACAACATTAATAATAACAATAACATAAATAATAAACAAAAATGATAATTAAACGACTATAAGAAATATATAATATAAATCAGTATAATACTATTATTAATATAATGACGATAGAAAAAACCGAAAGAGTTATACCAATAAAAAGCTAAAAAACAAGATAAAAATAAAAAAAGATAATAATCATATCATAAGAAAAATAATATAATATACAAATATAATATAATAAATAAATATAAATAATAACAAATAAAAAGCTAAAAAATACGATTCAAAAATTAAAAATTTATACAAATAATAGAAGAAAAAAAAAAGACAAAAATTATAAAATACACAAATACAACGGTAAATAAATGTACCTTGGACTGTTTAAAATTCACTTTAAATGTACAATCTATGGTACATACTTCAGAATCTAACTCGAAATAAAAAAAAAATACACAGAAATAGAAACAGTATTAAATTCATTAAAGACATTCAAAATTGACACCTTTAATCGCTACATCATTTTTCCTATTTTTAAAATAAAAATAAACTATTACTTTCTAAAGACTCATATTTCCATATGAGAGTATATTCTTCGCTACCAAACAAAGTCTGAAAAAAAAAATGATGGCATTTATAATATATAACTATTAAATGTTAAAAAAAAAGAGCCAAAAAGCAAACTCACTATATCCTTTGCTGTATCCAGTAAATAAAATTTGTCTTGATTTTGACCAAGAATCATTGGTTCCAAAAATTTTAACTCTACTGGATTTACGCCACACAAAGTAATCTTCACCAAAAAGCTAGAAATTATATATGTATGTATGTATGTATGTATATATATATACATATATATATATATATATATATATATATATATATATATATACATATATATATATATATATATATATATATATATATATATATATATATATATATATATATATATATAGAGAGAGAGAGAGAGAGAGAGAGAGAGAGAGAGGCGAGACGTTTTTTGGTTATTGTTTTTTTTTGCAAAAAAAAACCAACTGCTTCGTTTTTTAGGTTTTTTGTTTTTTCTTATAAAATGCTCTTTTTCTTATTTTAAACGCTGAAATAAAATTTATTTTTAGGTATTATTTATTAAAGGAGAGTTTTTATTCTTTTATTTAACATATGATTTTATTAATATTGCTTAAAGTTCTTCAAGTAGAAGATCCTCACAAAAATTTTTTTTTTGTATTTGTTTAACTAACTACTTTAACACCTTGAACTTTAACATTTTTATAAATATCACCTCAACAGTTTGTTATTATAAATATCATCTCAACAGTTTGTTTTATTTTTATAAATATCATCTCAACAGTTTGTTTTTAGGTGATATTTATTAAAAGATTTTGTCATTCTCCTATATAGCATACCATTTATCTGTCTCGTTTTACGAGTTCTTCAAATGTTCATCAAATAACTTTAATAATTGTTCTTTCATGACTTACTTATAATAAGATAAAATAAAATTGAAAAAATTATTTAAAGAAACATTTTTCTTATAAAACACATCCTAAGTAAAGGAGATTTTTTTTTATGTAGATATGTTTTTTGAGTTTAAAACAATTGAAGACCTCGATGCAAAAATGATGTAACTCCATTTTTGCAAATTGTCCAGGAGAAAGAAAAAACGGAATAATTTTATATGTAAGGAATACGTATTTTTCTACCAAATCATGTGTTTAATTATACCGGAAGTGCTTTATTATATGTCATTTTTATACTAACTGATAGAACTACTTTTATATACTCATAATCCATTAAAACCTGAAAATTAATAAAAAGTGAGTTTTTGCACCGAGGTCTTCAATTCTTCCTTAACATTAAAAACAAATTTTTCAACAGAATGAATGAAAACTAATAATTGTAATTTGTAGAATGAGAACTTTTTTAATTTATAAATGAAATAACACTGCATAGCAAAATTTATATGTATTGTAAAGTTTTGCATAGTTTGAATTTTTTTTTAATTTTGCTACCTTATTTTATGCTTTTTGTTTTTTAATTTTATTTCTGCAATTGCAAATAAATTAAATTCGTCAACATTTAATTTCAGAAAGTGGAAATAGTATTTTCAATAATGTGATAAATATATTGCATAGGTGTGTTGTAGTATTTTTATTTTTTAATTTTATACCTTTATGGTAACTGTTTTGAAACATAAGATTGTTAATGATGACATATTGTTGTTTTGAAAATCTTTATGTACCAGTTTATCATAATTTGTAGTAAAGTAAATTTTTAGTAATACAATTATTATTAATAATTTTTTTAATAAAATAATTAAATTATGAAATTATTTTAGAATATAGCTTTTATAAGTTATTGTAAGGATTAAGCAGATTTCAAATCAAAATCAGTCACATAATTTAGTTGTTTTATTAGAACATAGCAATGAGTAGTAATAATAGAGTAGTCTGTGGTCACACTGGAGAAAGAAAACATCTGTGAGCATTTTATTCAAGCCAGCAAGCCAGATGAGCAAAATGGAAAGAGTTCAGTGTTCTTTTTGCAATGATGTTATGTTAAAAAGTGGAACACGGCCATGCATATTAAGAAATGTAGAAAATATTCAGTTGAAGTCAAATACAAATTTTTAAATGGTGACACAGTTATGTCAAAAAAAATCATGACAGAAACAACACAAAGTAAAGCAACATGCAAATTTAAAAACTTTATTTCAAGTCAGCATTGTAATAGTACAAATGTCACAAACATTATTTCAGACCCTTTAAAACATTCAGAACCAGTTTTTAAAAGTGGTAAATCATGTTCAATGTTTGAAAGCATGAAACAATGTGAAAAGGTATCAACATTTTTTTTTTTTTTTGCATAGTAAATTTCTTTTTAATTGTTTATCTAAGATTAAAAATGTCATAGGAATCAATTGATGCACATCTATCTAGAGCTATTTACGCAAGTGGGTCAGCCATGAGTTTAGTTGATAATAAATACTGGAAAACCTTTTTAAAAAACTTACGCCCAGCTTATCAGCTCCCATCAAGGTATGAAGTATCAAACACACTTTTGGATAAAGAATTCAATACAATATCAAGCAATGTTAAAGAATTAATTGCAATAGCAGACTCTGTAGGACTTATGTGTGATGGATGGAGTAATATTAGGTGAGTATTAGTTTAATAAATTTAAACAAAAATACTAATTTAAATAATTTAAAAATTAAAACGTAAAAACTATTTACATAATGCAGAAATGAAGCAGTTACAAACTTTGTGTTAACATTGCTTTCAACATTGCCTATTTTATGGAAATCACTACCTTCAGGTAAAGTTTACATAAATGTATATACATTTTTTAGAATAAATAATAAATACATTTTTTTTTGTTTTTGTTTTTAACTCTCTCCCAACTCTTAATTTAGTTCTTCACGTTCAAAACTTTTTCTAATTTTATAACTGAACATTTTGTAAAGTATTTACATGAAAGTATTTTCCAAATTTTCAAGTTCATCAAGTCATTCTGGTGAATACATAGCAGATGAAATATAGAAGGTATTAGAAGAAATTAATCCTAAAAAAGTTATGGGAATAGTAACAGACAATGCAGCAAACATGAAAAAGGCATGGAAACTATTAAAAAACAGCTGTCCTTTTCTAAATTGCTATGGATGTATATCTCATGGTCTCAATTTGCTTTTTAATGATTTTATAAAAATACCTAATCTTTGTGTGTTAATGTCACAAGCAACAGATATTGTAAAGGAAATCAAAAAGTCTCACATAATAGGTGCAATATTTAAAGAAATTCAAAAATCAACATTTGATTCAAACATTTCATTAAAACTACCAGTAAAGACCAGGTAATTGTTATTATTATACAATTAAAACATAGTTTTATACAGTGATCTATTTTATTTCTAATTTGATATTATTAAATTAGGATATGTGATTAAAATCTATTTATTAATTGGGGTTCCACTATGGTGTGTCTTGAGAGTATACAGAAAAAAAAAAAAGTCTTTAAAATCTTTGGCCATCTCTGAGCGATGTGTACTAAATTTTACAACAAGAAATAGCTTGTTATCAGATATTTTTTGGGATAAGGTTCAAGGATTTTTAAAGCTGCTAGCACCAATAGCTGATGCAATCAAGATAATAGAAGCTAACTTTTGTTTATTTTTATTAAAGTAAGTAAAACCATTAATACATTATCAAAATTTTTTAACAGATTACTGCATGTGAAGTAATATATTTTAATTGCTGCAAACTCACTTAATACCAAAAAGATATATTGATGGCTGATTTAGCATATTACCAATGTAAAGGAGGAGTTTTTTCAAAAACTTTTTTATGGACAGCTATTGACCTAATGTTTGGTCCAAATTGGTGGAAGGGATTATCTACTGAATTATCAAAAGTAGCAGCAAAAATTCTTCAGCTTCCTGCTACAAGTTCTGCTTGCAAAAGAAGTTTTAGCAGTTATGTAAATATTCATAGCACCAAAAGAAACAGATTAACAAATGGGAGAGCAGCAAAATTTAAAACTTGAAGCAATGGATATGTATGCAACACAACAACCAATTCTGCCTAAAGAACCAATAAATATTTCAGAGTCACCTGAACAAGAATTTGAATCACCAAGAATCAGAGCTTTCTAGTCAAGACTCTTCTGTAGATGAGTTTTGGATAAAAAAAACTTTAAATAAAATTTTTTTTTATTAATTTTTGAGTCAATGTAGCAGCAATCCGTTGCAAGTCATGCTACTTGTCAGTCGATGTAGCAGCACTCCGTTGCGAGTCAGGCTATTTGTCAGTCGATGTAGCAGCACTCTATTGCGAGTCAGGCTTTAAAATAGTCTATGTAGCAACACCCCCTTGTAGCAGCAGGCTTTAAGATAGTCGATGTAGCAACACTCAGGGCATGTTTTAAAATTATATTTCAATAAAATAACAACAAAAACATTAATTAAAAAAAACTTTCTAGTCATTATTCTTGCTGTTTTTTTAACAAACAATAAAATTTAATGTACTTCCGCATTAATTTAATTGCTTTGACTTTTCAATGACAATAAAATGTAGCTTAATTGTCGAGGTAGCAAAATTGTAGTCGAAAGAGACTTTTTTTTACATTAAAAGTCTCTTTCGACTACACCATAAGTATATATATATATATATATATATATATATATATATACACATATATATATATATATATACATATATATATATACATATATATATATACATATATATATATATATATATATATATATATATATATATATATATATATATATATATATATAATATACATATATATTTATATATATATATATATATATATATATATATATATATATATATATATATATATATATATATATATATATATATATATATATATATATACTGAGCATAAATTCCATAGTTTCACTTACAATTTGTACATATCAATGAACTCTTGAAGTATTTGCACTTTTTTTGTTTTTTATAGGAATTATTAGGAATAAATATGCAAATAATATTTTAATAGAAAATAATAATTAATTTATTTCGTAAAAAAAAACTAAAAGTTAGAAATATTTTGAAAAAACATATTACAACTAATAATTCAAAGATTCAAACAACTAATTAATTCAAAGATTCATTTTTTCATACTTTATTAGATTTTCCAAACAAACCTTTGAAATACTGCTACATGCTTGTTGGATAGAAGTTTTAAGTTCTTGTATCGAGCTAATATTACCCATAAATTTTAAGTCAGGTGAACAGGATGACTCCATGTATATATTTTTTTGAAACACTGTTTTACACTTCGTGCCGTGTGAATCGTCCATTATCTTGTTGGAAAATCCAATTCTCAGTAGGTAAATCTTCACTAAATTCAATTAAAACACCTTCTAAAAGATCTTTGTAATTTCTTGCATTCATTTTTGTTGTAATAAAACATATTGGAATTTTACCGTGGAAACAAAATATATTTTGTTTCCACGGCAAACACCTTAACTGTCTCTCCTCCTAAGTTATGACTCGAAGCTATGCTATCTTTTTTTTTTCAAATCATGCCAATAATACTTAAACCATCAGGTCAATCTAAGTTAAACCTTTTTTTACCTGAAAAAATAACATTTGGCCAGTCAACGACTTTCAATTTCTTCTTGTGAAGGAACTTAATGGTTTTATCAGCCTTATGCTTGGGGTCGTTGTCTTGCATGAAAATTATGTTACGTACAGTTCTGCCCCATTTTCGAAGGGACTTGAAATATCTGACCTTAATGATGTTGATATATTCATCAGCGTTTATTATTCCATTAATTTTCACTAATTCACTGACTCCACGAGTACAGAAACATCCCCAAAACAAGAATTTTCCTCCGCCATATTGAACGGTTGGTGTAAAATCTCCAGCACTTAATGGTGAACTAGGCTTTCTCCAAGTATATCTTATACCATTTGATCCAAACATACTAGTTTTACTTTCATCTGTCCGAATCCAGTCATAAAAGTCATCAAAAGTCATGTGTGCATGAAGTTTAGCATAATTTAAACGAGCTTACCGGTGACAAGAAACTAACAATGGCTTCTTGATCTTCCTTCTGGATTGAAAACCAATTCTTTTGAGCTCTCTATTGACTCTCCGCACTGAGCATGAGTCCCATAGCTGTTATTCATTAAATTAGTAACATCCTTTGCAGTTTTAGACTCTCCAGAAGCAATTAAACGAGCAATTGTTCTTTGGTCTCTTGATGTAAAAATTTTCCTTTAAGCCCTTTTAGGCTTATTTACTTCTAAATTATTGCGCAATTTGATTTTATATATGAGATTATGAGACTTTCCGAACTCAGCAGCGATTTCATGATAAGATTGTCTGGATTTAAGCCTCTCCACAATATTTTATCTAGTTCAAGATTTATTTTCCTCATGATGATACTAACAATACTTTTTTTATGTTTTGTAAACAAAATCAAACTTTAAATGATACTTAATCGTTAAAATCTGTGAAAAGCTGATAACTCAATCATTTTAGTCATAAGGCTATTAATTTATGTCGTATGCCTAATTAACTGTGGACATATATGTTAACTGCTTTCATTCGCAACAAAATTGTCACCATTAGCTTTTCACATAAAAATCAAAAAAAAAATTCAATATCTTCTAAATTTAACAAAAAGCAGTATTTTTAGTTAGCTAAGTCTTAAATTTAAAAATTTAATTTTTTTTTGCAGCTTTTCTAATAAAATATATATAAAATGTTTTATTCAAACATAGTGACAATTTTGGCACATACTATATATATGTATATATATATATATATATATATATATATATATATATATATATATATATATATATATATATATATATATATATATATATATATATATATATAGCAAGAGAAAGAGAAAGAGAGAAAGAGTTAGCAGTAGATGCTGTAACTGACATATGTTTGTATGCTGAGTCAGTATATTTCTTCAAGCTGTGACAGCCAAAGTAATTAATTACTATTCACTCAGAAACTGATTACTGATTTAAAGGTGTTTATTGTAGACGATTGAATTACTTAGTTTGACAAAAAGTGACCTAAAGTTGCTGCTCTATTAAAGTTTTCTCTGTTTTTGCCTTGTTTATTTGTTCATTGTATTATTTAAAATATTGACCTCTCATTTGATTGTTAACAATTGTATTTATTTAGTTTGTCAAAATTATGTCTAGTTTATTAACTTTGAGTTGAATTGTTTTGATGTTGTCACACTAAGATTTAAGAAATGGAGAACAAACTGAAATATTTTAGTGGGCAAATTAAAGACAAATAAAGAGATTAATGCAACTGTCAAACGGTACAAAAGATTTCTTGATGTAACTTAGCATTTGATTTGTGTTATTAGTAGTTGAAATGACTTGGACTGCATGTATATATATGTATGTATGCATGTATACAGTCATATCTATCTATCTATATATTTTAATTAAGCTCATTAAGTTTAAAGCAAGTCTTTCCGTAAGTCTTAACAATAAAACTATAAGAAAATGCTGCACATACATATAAATATAAATGAACAAATAACATAAAATAAATATAAATAAACAAATAACATAATATAAATAAAAATAAACAAATAACATAAAATAAATAAAAATAAACAAATAACATAACATAAATATAAATAAATAACATAATATAAATATAAACAAATATAATATAAATAAACAAATATAAAAAATAATAAATATATATAAAGAAATAAAATAATATGAATATAAATAAACAAACAAATATAAATACAAAGAAACATCTTTCAACTAAACAAAGGATTACTTAAAAAAATTTGGAAAAAAAGCTTTTTTTTTAAAATTAATTTTATAATAATAAATAAAAAAATTTTTTTTATTTATTTTAAAATATTTATAAACTAAATACCACAGTACATAACAATAAAATATTATTTACCAATCTCCACAAGATATTGTATCATATTTAATTTGAAATGGTTCATAAAAAATGCATTCCAGTCGCATTGGTACAATTGGCATGGTTAAATCTTTTAACCAACTGCAGACAAACATAATCTAGTAAAAATGTTTATAAAAGTTACATAAAATTATACAATACAAAACAAAAAAAACATTTTTGAATTAAAATTCAAGAGATGCTGAAACAATTTTTAAATATTTCTGTTATAATTATGTCAGAAAATAGAAAACATTGAATGTTAAGATATATGACTTTTGAGAACATTTAGAAAAACTGTTGCAACAAACATTAAATATTTGTTTAATCAAAGGCTTTTTTTGATTTAATTGAATTTTGTTATTTCCATTTTATTTTTGTTATTTGAGCAGTCTATAGAGAGCATATAGAATATATAACAAATTATTTTTAATTTTCAAAATTATTTTTATTTAAGAAACACCTTTTATTATTTATTTTTTAATTTCCATTGGAGTACAATGTTAGACTTCATTCAAACTTATGTCTTTAAAATGATGTCTTTCAATCAAAAAGCAGCAACAGAATAACAAATATTTTGCAAGTTTACTTTATTTAAAAATAAATAGATGTAACATTACTATTATCAAACTATTATTATTATTTAACTGTAATGTTAGCCTTCATATTAACACAATACAATCATCAAAAAGGCAGGGGAAAAAAAAGGCTTTAATTTTCAAGTTTAAATTAAACCAAGTTATATTATAAAATTCAACTGAAAATTGGCCACAATTCAAGATGATATTATATGCTATGATGCTTACCGCTTATATACTTAAGCTTGTTTCTAATTAGTTCAAGTTTTTAAAACTCATTAAAATTGAAACTTCAATGGTATATAAGTTGTGTATTACGATGCACACATTGATCTTTATTATGATGCACACAGTAATGTGTATTAAGATGCACACAGTAATGTGTATTATAATGTACACTAGGCTACATTATACTTTTGTATGTAATAGGGTACATTGTCGTAATAGGGTACATCATACTTTTAAAATTTTTGATTTTTAATTCGGCGGATAATTTTTATGGTGCCACTATATGTAAGTATTACCTTCCAAAAAAAAAAATTTTTTTTTTTACTTAGATGGGATTGCCTAGGTAAAAAAAATTTTTTTTAATTTATTTTTTTTGGAATTTAATATTCACATATAGTGGCACCATAAAAATTATCCGCCGAACTAAAAATAAAAAATTTTAAAGTATGATGTACCCGATTACGACAATGTACCCTGTTGATGTAACCTATTGCACACAGTAATGTGTATTGCAATGCACACAGTAATTTGTGCTATAATGTACACAGTAATGTGCGTTTTATGTAACAGAAAAATTTGTGAATTTATGATTTTACCATATATTCACACACTAATAAATAACTAAAATTGTTTTAAGCAACAAAATAAAAAAATATAAAATAGCTATATATTAACTTAATTTTTGTTGCTTGATCAAAAACAAAGACTTGGATTTAAAAGTTTGAAAACAAGCCAATGTTGCTTGAAGAGAAACAATGTTGCTTAAAGATTTTGAAACAACAAATATTTTAAATTTTATTTTAGAAATTTCAACTTTTCAAGAAAATAAACTATTTATAAATTGTTTTTAATAAAAATTATTACTATTATAAATCTCTTAAAAAGTGTATTACTTTCAGTAGAGAAGTTTTTTTAATTTCAGACAGAAGAAGTTTATTACTCTCAGACAGAAGTTTATCAATTTCAGTAGAGAAGTAGTTTATTATTTTCAGACAGAAGTTTTTTACTTTCAGTACAGAAGTAGTTTATTACTTTCAGTACAGAAGTAGTTTTTTAACTTCAGACAAGCAGTTTGCTACTTTCAGACAGTATTTGCTACTTTCAGACAGTTGCTTGTTACTTTCAGAGAGTAGTTTATAAATTTGAGGATTGCGGCATATATGCCAATATTTTACAAAAATTACAACTTCAAGTCATCCAAAAAAATGTTAAATTTTAATATTTCTTTAAAACTCAGGTTTCTCAAAGTTGCATTCATCAGGTTTTTTTTAAAGTTAACTGCATGGTTTTTTTTCAAAAAACCACGCAGTTAACTGTACCGCTCTTTGGTTAAAACCAAACCAAAAAAACTAAAAAACCCAAATAAAACCAAACTTATCTAATTATTTAACATATTCAAAAAACCAAACCGAAACTAAAAAACTATAAAAACCTATATGAAAATTCTAAAACATCAAAAAACCTAAATTATTAAACTAAATTATTAAAAATATATTTAAACTATTAAATTTGAGAACTTTCAAACCACAGAAAAGCAAAAAAAAAAAAGGGATTACAAAATGACTTAAAAATACAGCTTACAGTTAAATTAAAACATACAGTGGGTGCAAAAAGTATCCGACACAAAGGAAAAACTTTTTTTAAAAGTTTTTTTCTTTTTTTTAAAGCCCATTCAACAAAATAACATAAACAAACACTATTCTAATGTAACTTTACATAGGAAATAGAAATATCATATCAAAAAAACAATATTATTAAATGTTGACTTGATAATTGCAATATTGTAAAACTTAAGGTTCAAAAAGAATCCAACACATAGTAAAAAAATTCACTAAATACTTCGCCATGTGACCTTTAGCAGCCGAAACTGCTTCTAAACAATTAGAATACTTGTTCACAAGATTATCACATAAGCTAATAGGAATTTTAGCCCACTCTTCCTTGCATATTTTTTTTCAATTGAGAAAGATTTCTTGGATCTCTTTCCTGTACCTTCAACTTCAATTCCTGCCACAGATTTTCAATTGGATTGAGGTCAGGTGTTTGGCTTGGCTATTTCAATAAGTCAATTTCCCTCTCCTGAAACCATGCACAATTTGCCCTTGCCAAATACTTAGGGTCATTGTCTTATTGGAATATCCAACCTCGAGGAAGGTTCAAATTTTTGGCTGACTTCACAAGACATCTCTCAAGAATGTCCAAGTACACTTTGGAGTTCATCATTCCTTCTATGATTTCCAATTCCCCAGGGCCTGCAGAAGAGAAACAACCCTAAAACATGATGCCACCTCTAAACTTCACTGTTGGTACGGTATTCTTTGGATCAAACGCAGAGTTCTTCTGTCACCAAACATGATAGACACAGTTCCGACCAAGCAACTCTAATTTAGTCTCGTCTGACCATAATATTTTATCCCAAAAGGTTTACTCAAGTGTTCTTTAGCAAAGTTCAGGTGGTTCTTTACATGAATTTTCTTTAAGAGGGGAATTTTTCTTGGTGACCAAAAGTTCTTTCAAAGAACTGTCCTAATTGTATTTTTGCATACATTTGTCCCAGATGACTGCAAGTCTTTTTGCGATTCAGACCAAGTCAGTCAAAAATTTTTCTGTATTTTTCAAACTAATACCAGCCATACGGTCAGAAATTTTTGTAGGACGCCCTGAATGAGGCAGACTAGTCAATAGGTGGAAGGATTTCCACCTCCAAACCATATCACCAACTGTCGAAATTGGGATATTTAACACAGATGAAATTTTTCTATATCCCAAACCATCTTTGTGCAGCTGAATAAGTGATTTTCTAGTTGCTTCAGACAATTCTGCAGTTTTAGTCATTGTTAAGGAGCACAAATTTTAGGCCTTCTAATTACGATGTTTGATAGTGAATGACTGCAGTTAGAAAGATATCGATAACGTAATTTTGCATTCTAGAATGTTCTTTTGTTTTCTGATTTTAGAATATTTCCTTGCACACAACGGATGATAAACTATTGGCTAATTAAATTCTTTATTTATGATGCGTTGGATACTTTTTGAACCTTAAATTTTACAATATTGCAATTATCAAGTCAACATTTGATAATATATATTTTTTTATACAATATTTGTATTTCCTATATAAAATTACATTAAAATAGTGCTTGTTTATGTTATTTTGTTAAATGGGCTTTAATTAAATAAAATATTTCCTTTGTGTCGGATACTTTTTGCACCTACTGTATGTTGCAGACCAGAACAGAGTAAGGTTTCTGAGAGTTTTGGGTATCAACGCCTTGTGACCAGTGAGTAAAATAGAAACTCTTTCTTTTTCAGTTATAAATTATTATTTTGCTTAAAATTCAAAATTTATTTTTATAATACTTTTATTTTAAGAACTTTGCTTTATATACCCTCTTTTATTGCACCATAATAAGCAAATAGTAATAAAACTGATGTAATCTAAAAAAAAAAATTCCTTTGAACAGCGACCATAATAGTATTTGTAGAAAAGAGAAAATAATAATATATTAAATAATATTTATAAAATAATTTTAAAGTTTACACTTGTATATGTTAACGATAAGCCATACCAGTTTTAAAATTCACATCCTGATTCAATTAAAAATTATTTTCAACAATTAGTATTATCCCTAATTAGCTAGATCTGCAAGATAGCAAATTTTATCTATATAAGTGCAAAATCTTTGGCTTCGGAAAGCTAAGATTTTTCCAAAGCTTTGGCTTTGGAAAAATCTTAGCTTCAGTACATCTCTACTTATTACCAGTCAGTCTCAGAATCATTAAACAGAGTTTTAGAGCTGTACCCTCATTAGGAGATAACAGGAAGTTGCATAGCCATTATCAAGGAGGCACAAGCAAAAACCTATGAGAAGAATCAAGATCCAGCATTCATCATCCTAGGCAAGAAACAATGTAACACCAGTTTACATCTATGTCAGCCTAATAAATGAAAAAGGGGTTTAGGAAGCCTTCTACAGGATAATAGCTGGATGTAGTTAACATTTGATCAAGATGAGTATTTTTACTGAAATACAATCTCTAGCCTTTACTCAACCTAGAGCCCCTAGGCAGGATATTTTTTAAGTCGGAGCTTGTTCCTTCAAGCCTTTGCCTAAAAAAGCACACTCTACAAGGCAGCAGGAAATGGGGCAGGCAGTACTGGGTTACAAAATATTAGTAGCAGGGTGATCATGATGATCCTAAACCTGACCTGGAGTAATTAAAAGGAGCTACTTCCTGCAAAAAGTACCTTAAAACATTTGACATGATACTTTGGAAATGCATTATAAAAAATATTACATCTAACAAAATAC